TCCATGGGGGGACACCCGATCTCCCGTATGCCGCCTTCAAGCAAAATGTGTAGACGGCAGTCAGATTTTATGGCATTACGTCTGATCGGGAAGCTCTACTCTATGTATTTCGGCATTTATCAAAGGGCCTGCGTTGGGATTTGATTTCACTGGCGGGAGTGCATAATCCTCCGTTGGCGACGGTGTGGAAGTTGCTCGACGAAAAGTTCGGCACAAGCGACACGCCGGGCACCGTCGCAAATCGTAGGAAGCCTTTAGTCAGAGAGAAGGGGAGTCAGTCTCAGATATGTACGCGCGTTTGCTGAGAGAGCGGGCTTTGTATGCGCAAGTGACTGGGACGCAACTGCCCGCAGCGGTTGTGGCCGCCAAGTTCGTATCAGCGCTTGCACCACCTTTGAGGGGGGCCCTTGAGACGGCGTGGGGTCGCATGCTTGGAGATTTCACTGTCGAGCAAGTCAGGGAGCACGCCCTGTTTTATGAAGAGAGACAAGTGGGCAGGACCGTCAGCGATCTAGACAAGTCCGCAAAATGCAGGAAGACCATCAGCCCCTATCCCGGCTCCAAGGCGATGAATGGGTCAGGGTCCATGGCTGCCGCAGCGACTGAGCAGTCCAGAGTCTCTCCTAGTCGCCAACCTCAGGGCTCCTCTATTCATGGTGGTATCACCGCCGGGAATCGTTGTAAGTATTGTTCGGAGAGAGGCTATAAGAAAGCCGATAAGCACTCCGACGCGTTATGTTGGGAGAATCCGGCGAATGCGAGCAAGCGTCCTCCATGGTTCAGGCCGTTAGAAGGCCGTCTCCCTAGAGGCCCGGCGGTTAACGGGTCGGCCGTAGTGGAGGCGGGTAAAACCTTTGTGACATGCGCGAAGGGCCGGCAAGGTCTGGTAGGGATCGAGACCCTTCTGGAAGGACGACGGAGTGCGAATCAAACGCCGGCTTTGTTATTGTTGGATACCGGTAGTGAGTGCACCCTGGCCTCAGCGCAGCTTATCTCGAGACTGGGACTTGAAGTGAGAACATACGGAAGCCCGGTGGTCTTGGAAGCTGCAGGGGAGGGTGGTACAGTGAACGTGGTCGGGGAAGTCGCTCTACCGGCGATGGTTGGTGGCAACGATGGGAAGTGGTACAGGTTCCACTTGACGGTGCAGGTGGCCACTGACCTCAATCCGGCCGTGGTAGATTCTTCGGCCATCCTTCTTGGTCTAGGCTCGCTGAGAAAGATGGGAGCCGAGATCGCAGTGGGGGACTCAACAGTCTTCTTAAAAGCCATGGGTGTATCGGTCAGATTGGTGTCCTGGAGTACACCCGGAGCGCCAGCTGGGCTAGCAGGGAAGAAGTATGCTGCCATGGATCCGTCCTTCGAAAGGGACGAGGCTCCACTTCCTTCTAAGGAAGAGATTGCCCGACGCCTCGAGGGGTGG